GCCGCAATCTGGTACCCTGGGACTGAGCGTCTTGGGGAAGTCTACGCTACTCTCAGGATTGAAGACAGATACCGTAGCAAGAACAGAGGGAAACTGCACGTGTTTATCATGGCCGCTACGACTTTGGACGCGTGTTCGCTTTGGATTGTTTTCACCTCCTTCCCTGCATATACTACCGACATTCTCGTCGCCAGTGTTCCCAATACTTTTTGGCAGGCCCTCTCCAGTCCTGCGACGTTTGTTGTGAGGAAGGTCTGACTCAAACCCTTTCCACTCTTCCGCGTCTGTGTCCCTCCTCCATCATCGCCTCCATCCTCCTTTGCCTTCCTTTCATCTCCGCCTCTCCCAAAAGAACTACGCTCAATACCGTTGTTGTCTCTTTCACCAGTACTACTGAAATCCCAACCTATTGGCCGTAGTGGAAATTGGCCGATCATAAGTCCATGACGTTTTGAAAACATGACGAGTTCACCCCGACAGGAACGAGCCAGCTCGAAGGTAAACCGTCTCCGAATTGTGTTGATATGGTATAATCTTTAGGCGAAGCAAGGCTGTTTCGTCGTCGAAATTCCCCCTGCTATTCTACGTGGGCCAATACCAAGAATACCCGATTTGTGCCGCTACCAAGACCAAAGGTTGAAAAAGCAGCATAAGGAGGGTAGATCTAGACGGATTTAACGTTCCCGCGTAGTGGTTTGCCTTAGTTGCTGCTGTCTTCGGGGGCGGACCCTGGTGTTTGCATTGATTTTTCGATGCTTCGATGTGCAGGTGGGTTGACGATGGTCACATCTACGATGACAGACTTGGTGCAAGATCCTCCTCGTTATCTCCTGCACGAAATCCTAGGGCGATTACCAAGTCCATCTTGTAGAGCCCTTTTCCCCTACCAGTACCACTGGTAAATGGGGCAGAATCCTCGACTGCGATTGGCATGTGGCACTGGTTTAGTGTCTTGAGGATCACTCGAACCATCCTGTTATGGAGGAAGGTTGCGGCGCCGGTCGTTGTGCGGACGAGGGAGTGGGCCCGGCTCAAACGATCTTGGCATATCGACCATACGCCCGAACCACAAAGTCTGCGTGTCGCAGTCAATTCGGTCGTGACTCCTCAGGCGGCATTCGTTCATCCACTGGCAGCCCTTGCGTTGTCAGCCACGATAAAAGTTCTTGCCTTTCGCTTTCTCCAAGCGGATCAACGCCCTTATCCCTGACGTTTCTCTTGCATGCTACCTTCTTCAAGTCTGTCTCCACCATGCGACGCACTGCTGCATGAAAAGTTTTGGACCGGACGGCTTGTGCACCGAAAACTTAACCCCTTTGGGTCTAGGCTGGACTGTCAGATTTTTTTTTTTGCGCCAAAAACAATAATGAGAGCGAGAGCGAGCAGGAGAGAGAGAAGTGCAGAGAAAGACACCAGTGTACTTCTGCACACGCAACAGCTATCTCCACCTGTAGGCCATGAGAGAAGCCGGCGACAGGGTGGTGGCCACAGACAGGGTCGTAGAAAGGTTGATGGGTGGTCGCGCTGCGGTCAGTAGGGCAGGTTAGCTGTGTAGACTTTGAAATGGTCAGTCGTCTAGCTGCCTCAACTAGTCTATTTTCGGTATATTGTAAATGATCAGTCCAGAGAGGGCAAAATGATCAGTGAAGACCCATAGCTGGTGTTTGTACTTCTGTACTTCTCTGTTCTCTGTCCCCCCCCCGAAATGTGCCCTGCCAGCTCTCTAGAGCTCCTGTGTTTTTCAAACAACAAGCACATCCACCAGCACACACCTGTACCTCGTGGTTTCCTAGGTTCGGGCGAGGGTGGTATGTGTGGCGGTACGAGTGTGGATGTGCTGCTGATATGTTTTACTCGTCTACAGCAATAGTAGTAGTGTCGTTGTAGCGTTCGTTGTAGCTGCTGACACAATGACGGCTGGATCTTGGGAACGATTTTCAAATTGTTGGGAACCAACCACGATATCCTCGATATCTGGGCTTCGGCAGGGATTGCGATACCCCTCCCTTTTGCTGCCCTCTGCTCTTTGCAGCAGTGGTTTCCTATACGTTCGGGCGAGTGTATGTGTGGTGCTGCGAAAGAACACGTGTGTATGTTTGTATGTATGCACACATGCGTTCATGTGCATACATACGTTGAGAGATTCATGATTGGGCATTGATTGGCCCCATTCCCATTCCCGAGACCTTGATATTACCCGCTGTCACTGACGTCTCTTCATTGGTCAGCCGGTTAGCGCGGGTGCTAATAATCTAGACACGCCTACCTATGGACTTGCCACTACACGGCGCGAAGGGCTGCAGGGCGGCAACTCCACGACTTGCCACTACAACACCAGCATTTGCAAATGATCAATCAATGATCAGTGAGAACGCCTGAAGACTCAAAAGGGTTAATACTGCTGACCGAAAGCGTTTCGACCACATGTAGACGGTGTTTGCCGTTCCTTGTAAGGGTTGTCGCCTCCATTATGTCTCCCTACGTTCCCAGCCTCCATGAGATATACTCCTGTGAGCGTTGGAGTCAAATCATCACACGTCGCCAGTTTCATCCAAGACTGGCCTACATTACAGCTTTTTCAAGCTTGTCTTCGGCGATGATCTCCTCTAGCTTCTTGAGCGACTTAACCCTCCTAGTACTGGAAGCCCAAATGGGCGCACTTTGGGAACATAGCACTCAAGTCGCATCGCAGTCACCCTAGACCCCGCTGTGTGAAACGCACGTGAGAACCCTTTGTCTATCATGCGTGGGTGAGGTGGTAAGCTGTGTGATATGCTGTGATGCCTCTCCTCGGCCTCTGACTTGCTGTACGCCGTCTCCCAAGCCGCGTGTCTCCTAGGTCGTAAAACTGTGCATCGCCTGGTAATGGAAAATTTTGCTGACTTGACTTCTTTTGGGGACACTCTTTATACTGAAGCCAAGTCACCCTTTGTCTGACAAGGAGCTCAGATTCTTTGGAAGGACTGTAGCCCCTCGACCAATGGCTGACGGGTGATGGTGCGTGGGGCACCCCAAGAAGCGTTTTTGTAGTTGCATCAGTGGCATACTGCTGCTCTGTAGACCATTTACAAACGTAGCACGGAGTAGAGAATAGATGGGGTAGAGGAGCGGAGAGAAACGGTGACCTTCCGCTGTGGGCGTGTCGACCGCGGATCCTATGTGCACACACAGAAGGTTATTTCCTCTCGAGCCCCTATGATGCAGACGCTCCTCAAGGCCCTCTGATTTGTGCTTCTCGAGAGCATATCGGGAGAGAGAGTCGGGATAAGCGGGGACTAAGCGGCGCACCCCACAATATGCGACTGATCATCTCGCGATCTTCCCAGCAAGAGACGGAAGGGAGAGCGGAGAGAATGGCAAAAATATGGGCAAGCTAGAAGGCACCTAGTGAGTCGCCTGCGTTGTCGAGTCTCTCTCCCTTACACAATCACAGCACACACGATATTTTTCTGCTTTTTCGAGAGCATTTGGATGGATGGGCGTTTAAAAAATTCAGCTGCGGGCATGCACAATTGCCAGTCAAGTACATGCCCGTGATTCAACCGTATTGCCGCGACTCCACGGGAAACTGTCACACATCTATTGCCGCAACACCCGAGGCAGCGTCACGCCACTTCATGTGCACAGCGGCCCGGATACACTGGTGCAGGTACTAAAGCCAGTTCGCTCACACAGCAACAAGTACCACAAGTCATGCGCGTGAAACAAGAGGCAATTAAATAGCGCGCATATAGCAGCAGCATGACAGTTGACGTGCTCACGAACAACCGTGACCGATTGCTGTCCGTGTACGTTGGTCCGTGAGAGACGCATATCGCTAAGCGAGCAAGGCGTCAGAGCAAGGCGTCAGAGCAAGGCGCCCAACCCTGTACCTTTCTGCGTACATGACTGTGCTGCCTTGGAGCACATGCAGCAGCCTGGGCTTGTACGGTACACATTATAGCTTTTCCTATCTCCTAGCTCAGCAGAACAAAACTAGTAAAAAAAAAAGTGTGGTGCACCGGGCCATCTTTTTTCAACCCCCCCGTTCGGATGGCGGAGCAGACAAGGCCGACGGCGACAGCAGGTCGAAGCTTCTCAAAGTCGGGGAAGGGTCATGATTTGCGATTCCCCACCCAACCTACTCAAGACGCTACGCGATATTTGCACTGTAAGCTCGAGATCAGCATTTAGGAACGGTTCGGGCAAGGGGAGGGAGAGTCGAATAAAACTTGCACGGATAATGTCTTCAGAACTTGTTCTGCATCACAAGCAAGCCTCTGCGTACATGTTCGTGTCGTGCTCCTGGAGATAGTGAGGAGTCGTACAGCAGTACACAGCAGTATACCTTCTGTCTATCCTTTTCGTGCAATCGACGTATGAAGATACAAGCACCCAAACTAATACAAATGTTTCAACGCCAAAATAGAGAATCGAGAAAAACATTCGGGAAAGCAGCCGTGGGCACACGGCAATTTATGGGCGCGGGCGACAACCGCCGCCCACCTGTTTTTCTACAATCCCAACGCTTCACTCAACGTGGCGTCGTAACTCAACGTGGCGTCGTACAGTAGGCCGCCAAATCCCATGTGTAATCTCTTATTTGGTGCTGCTGCTATTATTGTCCCCTCGTCACGTTGTGCTCAATCGCTGACAGGATTCTTCTCTTCGTGTCGGCACTTTGTGTGCTTCTTTCAACATACACACGCGCGCCTCGTGAAGACTGCTTCATCCACCATTTCTGTCTCCACCGTTTGTCTCCTGCTTTTTATTCGTGTCCTGCTTTTTTGGTTGCTCGCAGTTTCTAGCAGCCTACGGTCGTGCCTTCCTACCTTGAGATCTTAGATGCGGGTCAGACAGGCTTTGTCTGGTGTATTATAATTTTTCTCCGATGTTTTTCCGTGGAAAATAGTTCGTCAGTTTCGTTCGGCATATGCTCACCACCTCACGATATAACCAAACAACTTGTGGAAAAGGGCAATTGGTTGCGGAGTAGCTTGGCCGCTTGGATTTTCGAACGTATGCCGAAATCGGCGTCTGATTACCTCGAAATATTGAGCCCGCTGTGTCACTCTCCTGCATCTCACGCTCTTGGACAGGTTATTGAAATCGTTCAAAGGGGTCTTCTACGTGGAGGGGGTTGCGAAGCTGCCGAAGCATGTGCCGAAGTGATTGGAGCAGCCGCTACGCGCTGGCGTCGGTTTGAAGGCGCTTACCGTGATGATATCAGCTGCATTGTTCTACGGCTTCCATGTTTCCAAGCCGCGACGGATATCAACAAGTCGGGAAGTAACGAGCGCTGACTGATGGCGTTTTGTGCTATTTTTTTTATTGTCGGAAGGTGTAGCGGGTTGATTCTGGTTGAACAACGGCATCACTAAGCTGTCATAGCTCCCCCAAGTTATGAACTCACCTTGAACAGTTTAGGCATAGAAAGTAGTGTTGGATATCGATTCAATAATAGATTCGATACGATATCGTCCGTGAAGTGTTCGATATCGATATCGATATCGATATTAGCGAGCGAGCGAGCCGGCGAGCACAGTGAGCTGACGCGCGAAGGCGCGGAAGCTCGCTGTGCGAGCCCAAGCGCCCCCCCCCGGCTGGTGAGGGGGCCCCGCTGGAGGCGCCGCCGGAGGCAAAAAAATTGGAGCAATTTCGCTCCATTTTCCATCAAAATTACCCGCAAATAGGCCTCCGAAACCTGCTGTCAGTGTACAGTGTACAGCCAGCTGCTTGAAAAAACAATATGTATATGGGTAATAGTCTATCTACATCTACACCGAGAAATGAAAATCATATTCATCAGTTGATTGTTCTACACTGCTGCTCAAGAAAGCTCAGCGGTATCGCACGCCTCAACAAAAAAAGCAAGCTTGCTTGTCGCAGAAAAGCAAAGCTCTCACAACAATGAGAGATATATGGATAGTAGCTGCAGCTACTTTGTTGAATGCGCGCATTTACCTTTGTGCAGCTGCTGTGTGCTGTGTGGTGTACAGCTGTGGGGGTTCCGTGTGGAACATCAGGGGTTCCGTGGAGTATTTATCGATTTATCGTATCGATATCGAAATATCGAAATATCGAAAAGTTCAAATGTTTTCGATATCGGATATCGATACGAAAAAATCGATACAATATCCAACACTAATAGAAAACTTCTTTTTGACACCAGATGCCAACATCGGAACCTGGGATGTAGAGGAGCGTCCTTTGACCGCATTAGCCTCTGCTGCGAGCTGGCGCGCACATGCTGGCATGTGGCAGGGCGGAACGAACGGGTAACGATGGCGGGGGGAGAGGGGGAGGGCATTGCTGGTTTGTCACTCCGGAGTGTGCAGCAAAGGGTGCGCCAAATGACATTGCAGTAGCAATGGAAAAGTGTTTCCGAACACACCGCCCTCCCCTCTCTCTCCTACACACGCGATGAAGGGTGGATGCATGACTCCATCACGTAGCTCCAAGTGCACACGGAGTCTCTTCGTGCACGATGAATCGTACCCATTGCTTTCTCTATCGTATGTATGCATAGGCCGGAGATCGAAATCTGGGGCCGCGGGCGAAGCGGGGGGGGGTAGTTTGAAGGGAGGGCGGGGACACGTAACAGCGATTCCCCGGGTTTCCAGCTGTGGTGTTTCGCTGAGGCGGGGACGTATTCCAGAGGCCCCTGGGTTATTTGCTGAAGGGTTTTGTTTCGCCGAGGCTTCTGGTTAATCCCGTGTCTTGCGTTTTCCTCTACGAGACCGTTACAGTCTCTAGAGATCTTAAACGGTAAAAAAGAAGTGTCTGTCGGGAAAAATAGATATACAGAAAGACTACCCGTTCGAGGTATAACCACATTCGAACGGGATGTGTTGTGGATGAGTGGAGGGAAACCAGCTGGGTACTGGGCTTGTTTGGAGTCTGTTTTAGGCCTATACACTGATGATTTATATCAGTGAGACCACCGGCCGTCCTGCACAACGTCAGACGCCCTAAGCAAGTTCCAGCTTTTGATTGGCGCCTCCTGCGTAAACGTTTTGACTGTGTCGGTCATCAACCTTCTCAGGCACGAAACACGAACAAGCATGCAGCAGGTGCTCCCGGAACCGAGTTGCTCCGATCTCGACGAATTTGTGCCTAAACGTTGCCTACCCGCCATCGAATTGAAGCCTCGTCCAGTCTACAACAGGATGCACAAACCCTTTCCAATGACTGTTCTTATTTTTTGTGTAGCCTGCCTGCGAGAGGTTCGGGCCACACCGCTACAACCTCCCGACGAGAAAGGATGTTCCGCAGCATTTCGCACACAAACATGATAACATGACAGCAACATGATGAGTGACGACGCTCTCTTTTCCTCGTCAGAACACAATCAACCATCCATCCTGAGTGGTTTCAGTGTGATTGGTGATGTTTCATTGCTATTTGCTCCACCGGTGGAGTAAGTTCTTATTTGCTCCACCCGGCAGATCTCCACCCACAGAGCTCCAATCGACCTCAAACCAATTGCATCGTGCAGGTATGGACTACAGCTATCTGCAATTCTACTTACAAGCTAAATCCGACAGGTGGCTGCAGAGATATTCTGAAAAAGGGGGTTCCGCAGCATGTCAGGAAGCAGTAATCGTCTCGAACTTCCGTCCACACCGCTCCAATTGACCTCAAATCTTTTGGATCGTGTTTGCACGGTCCATGCCGTTCTTCTAAGCTATCGGACACTCACATCCGATATCTTCCCGCAGAGATATGGTCAACCGAGGGGGTTCCGCAGCATCTAGGGGGGGGGTAGCTGGCAATAGTCCCTCTGTACCTCCCGTCACATAGCTGAACCACGCCTCACTCGGCCCGCATCGTGTTGGCGAGGCTCACAGCTATCATTCAACCCATCCTTCACCCCAATCGGACCAGTGGGTGCAGAGAAACGCCCCCACGTGGGGACTCAGTGGCTCGAGGGCCGGTGGAGCAGATAAGCTTAACTGCTCCACCAGGCCAACTCTTCGTTAAGGGTACTGTTTGTCCTACTACGGCTTGTATTGTGTCCGCCCGGCTCACAGCTCTCATTCAAGCCATCGGACACCCCGATCGGACCAGTGGGTGCAGAGAAACGCCCACCCACGGGGGCTCAGGGACTCGAGGGCCGGTGGAGCAGATAAGCTTAACTGCTCCACCAGGCCAAACTCTATCTACAACGGGCGTTGTTTGTCTTACGAAGACTTTCATTGTGTTGGCCCGGCCCACAACTAACTATCATACAAGCCATCCGGCACCCCAATGGGACCAGTGGGTGCAGGGAAACGCCCACTCATGGGGACTCATCGCCCAAAGGCCTGTGGAGCAGATATGTGGCCTCTGACCCTTTCCTCGTCACGTTTTCTGTATCCTTTAGTCATATTCACTGTATTCCCTGATCACATACTACGCTGTCATGGGATACACTGTATTCCCAGATCACACACGCTGTATTCGCTGAGGGGATACACTGTATTCCCTCGTCAGATACACTGTATTCCCTGAGCAGATTCACTGTATTCCCTCATCACATACAATGTTTCCCATATCAGATTCACTTCATTCCCTGATCAGAATCGCCGTATTCCCTCGTCTGATACACTGTATTCCCTGATCAGATACGCTGTATTCCCAGAGCAGATTCATTGCGTTCACTCATCAGATACACTGTATTCCTTCATCAGATCCACTGCATTCCACGGCGTGCACATCTGATGGGGGGCACATTGAATCTGACTAGGGAATACAGTGAAAAGTTTAAGGAATACGGTAGGGTATTTGAAGAGGGAATACGGGGATCCTGACCAGGGAATACAGTGTATTTGATGAGGGAATAGAGTGCAACGAACGAGGCAATACGGTGTATTTGATGAGGGAACACAGTAAATCTACTCAGGGAATACAGTGAAAAGTACGACGAGCACTGTGTGTCGGATAAGGAAATACAGTGATCCTGACAAGGGAATACAATGTATTTGATGATGGAATACAGTGAAACGAGCGAGGGAATACGGTGTATCTGATGAGGGAATACAGTGAATCTGCTCAGGGAATACAGTGTTTAGCGTATCTGATCAACAAATACAGTGTATGTGATCAGATAATACACTGTATGTGTCCAGGAAATACAGTGTATTCTACACACAAAAGCACTGCACCGTCCGAACACGGCGCCAAGAGGTGTCCGTGAGCAGAGAGGAGTGCCGACAATGGGGGTGGGGTGGCCGTTGTTGACGGAGAGTGCCATTAGTTGAGGGGGAGTGCCCCAAACCACCAGGAGGGGGGCGTTATTCGGGGGGTGCCCGTTAGTCGGGGTGGGTGGGGAGGAGTGCCCGTTAGCCCGGAGGGGAGCCCGTTTGAGAAAAATTCCCATATCCAGGGGGTGCCCCTATCCTGTCACAGTCTTCGTACGACGATCAGCGCCCGGTGTAGATAGAGTTTGGCCTGGTGGAGCAGTTAAGCTCCACTGGCCCTTGAGCCGCTGAGCCCCCGTGGGTTGGCGTTTCTCTGCACCCACTGGTCCAATCGGGGTGTCCGATGGCTTGTATGATAGTTGTGGGCCGGGCCAACACAATGAAAGTCTTCGTAAGACTAACAGCACCTGGTAGATAGAGTTTGACCTGGTGGAGCAGTTAAGCTTATCTGCTCCACCGGCCCTTGAGTCACTGAACCCCCGTGGGTGGGCGTTTCTCTGCCCCCACTGGTTCGATCGGGGTGTCCGATGGCTTGTATGATAGCTGTGAGCCGGGCCGACACAAGGCAACTCTTCGTAAGACAAACAGCGCCCGGTAGATAGAGTTTGGCCTGGTGGAGCAGTTAAGCTTATCTGCTCCACCGGCCCTTGAGTCTCTGAGCCCCCGCGTGGTGGCGTTTCTCTGCACCCACTGTGGTCCGATTGGGGTGGAGGATGGGTTGAATGATAGCTGTGAGCCGTGCCAACACGATGCGGGTCGAGAGAGGCGTGGTTCAGCTATGTGACGGGAGGTACAGCGGGACTATTGCCAGTTACCCCCCCCCCCCCGAGATGCTGCGGAACCCCCTCGGTTGACCATATCTCTGCGGGAAGATATCGGATGTGAGTGTCCGATAGCTTATCAGAACGGCATGGACCGTGCAGACACGATGCAAAAGATTTGAGGTCAATTGGAGCGGTGTGGACGAAGGTTCGAGACGATTACTGCTTCCTGACATGCTGCGGAACCCCCTTTTTCAGAATATCTCTGCAGCAAAGACTATGACTATAATAACCATAGGCCGATCACAGGGGGGGGGGGGATGGCCGGGGATGCCCGCAATGCGCGGCCGCTTTTTTTTTGTTTGTCAGCAGCACACATGAATTCCGCCGCCTGACCCAGGGCAAGGAGTACCCCGGCAACAGATCAACATCTCTTGGGACCT